TAAAGCATCTATAATCACTTGCGAGTCCCAAGAACGATCTGACCTCTAAAACTGTCTTGGCCTCTGGTAAGTCCTGAATGGCCTTAATCTTGTCCGGGTCCGTTGTAGCACCATTACTAGTGACAACAAATCAAAGGAAATGTACACTCATCTTAAAAAAAGCGAGATTTTTCGTCAGATACCCTCATATTTGCTTCATACAAGCTCTTCAACACCCAGTCGACATGTCTGACATGGGATTCTTCATCTTTCGAGAAGACGATTACGTCATCGACATAGAAGTAACATGACTTGCCGATCTGTTCTCGCAGTATGTCATCAATCGCCCTTTGGAAAATGCTGGCGGCGTTTTTCAGGCCGAAGGGAAGTCGAGTTGGCTGGAGCTTAGGCAAAGCTCTGCCCCGACTTGTGTTAACAGGTCGAGGCCTTTAATCCCATCAAATGTTGAAAGTTCTGAGAGAAGGAAAAGAGTAGCATTTTTTCCAAACATTGATACATAGCATTTTTCTGAAATCTTGGTAGTGTCATGAATGGAGTGGGTGGAAAATGGATTATCGACTGGGCGGATTCCTTTCAGGCCATGGTGCGGACGGATGTAATTTTTTGCCGCACCCGTGCCGATGAGGAACTTCATCTGAGTCCCCGCTACTTCCCGCCTGATGAAGGGCAGCAGGAATCCACCCCAAAAAAAATTGAGGGCGTCAGAGTCCCCGTCCGAATCGTCAGCTATATGCGCCTCAGCATTTTTTGCTGCCGCTGCATACCCCTCAGACCCACATTCATGGCTCTAAGTTGTGTGATTTACCCTTTGGCGCCTCTGACCCGTTGCTGGGTCAGAGGTATTCGTTCTCTTGTAAGCCTGTGGGTTACTCGAGTTGACGTACGCTGGCGCCTGGGATGGCAACAGAACTCTAGACATTGAAGGGTCAACGTCCATTGTTTGTTGATCATTGCTGCCGTTGCTTTGCCTACCACTACGCTGGTCGGTCTGTTTTGGTTGTTGGGGCTGTTGGGGCTTTTGTTGCCGTGTGTAATGTGTGTTTTTACGCAAGGGTAGGCTGTGCCTCGACTGCATCTGGGCCCTTTTGTCGTTGCTGGGATTGAGGCTTTTGGTCGGGTTTCCGAGCCCTATCTTCAATGCTTCTGCCCATTTCTTGTTCGATAACATGAACTGGCCTCTTGTCACTGTAGGTGAAATCTAAACGGTTGATGATTACATCAAAATTTAGTATTGTGGCAAACGAAGACAAAACCACGTCGGCCGAACCCCTTATTTTGCTTCTGATGAATATGACTGCCTGGTAATGGCGAGAGCTGCCATTATATCGTCTAAATATTTTATATGCTGCCATTGCAGCTTGCCGCCATGAAACATAATTTTCTTGCGACCCATTAAATTCTGCCAGGCACTTGAACGCATCCAGAGGCTCGTCGCAGCGAATGCTGTCTACAATTTGTATTTCTTCGAACACATCAATTGTGGGCGCTGTGACCTTCAGATCTGTTACTTTTCTGTTAACACGGCAATTTGCCGAATGAAGTTTACCTTAAGAGCTGCATCTCTTTCATTGAATGCTTTCGCCTGTGCATCGAGGGCAGCTGAAACCGCTGATTCGACTAAAGCCCTAAGTTGCTGGGAACCCATGTCTGTTTTGTTTGAATGCACTGAGTTTTGTCTGAATGTCTTCTGCGTATGGGTATACCCTAATGTCGTCGCTATCTGAGCCCTCCGAGTCAAAATTTCTCGAGCTGGGGTCCCTATATATTTCGAATGCCCTATTCATAAGTTGTTATAGGAAATGACAATTAGTCACAGAATTAGATTTGCACCATTTAGGAGAGATAAATAAGAGAAAAAAACTTTTTCTTTTTGTCGAAATGATAGAACAATCAATGGTCCATTGGATTTGCAGAACAAAATGACCGACAGACAATATAGCACAATACAGTATAGTGAATTATTTAATTTTTGATTTCTACACGCAGTACTTAAAACCTGTTATGAATGAATGGCTCACTTACATGGTTCTTTATGGGGTTATGGGGTGTTCTTAATCTTATATTAGTTAAATATCCGCCGAATATGCTGTCTCTCTCGCTGCAGTCGGGAACAACAAAAATTTTTCAACGTTGTCCAGATTAGCTTGCCTGCCATACACCTGATGTGATACACCTCTGCCCGAAGAGCTCCAGCAGTTTCAGCTGACCAAATTGATGTAGGTCAGGTACACTGCACTGCACTGTCGAATTTATTTTGGCGTTTGGCGCAGGTTTTAATATGCGCACTGTTGTTATCACAACACAGGCTCATGGCGCCAATTAAATATAAGTTAATTATTCATTTTATTTTATTATTTTTTATTGAATAATTGATTCTGTAAGACATAACCGCTCGGGTAATGAATGAGTTATTAACCTTGGACGTGGTGTCGCAAGGCATACAAAATGCTTTTTTCTCGTTAACACTCAGTTATTGGTGTGGTTCTTGAGTAGAGGCGGCGGCAATTGGTGCGGTTAGTTGCGAGTTCGAACCCTGCCAAGGGAACAATTTTTTTTTATTTTAATTTTCTTTATTACTACTAAAGCAAACGAGCGCTTAGCGCGCGCTACCTTTGGTGTAAGAATAAGAGGGTTCAGGGTTTTCCCTAGTCGGGAGCTCCCGACTAGAACATCTTACATGCTTGTCTTTTATTGTTTTTACATAGTTCTGTAAGCATTTTATGTTCGGATGGTTATTCTATTGTTATTAAAAGATGCTTATGCAAATTGCAAGTTTTGATTCAATTATTATTTATTGTTTATTTTTTTAATGATCGCCAATACGAGTATCAGCCTTATTGTTTAATACATAAGGATATAAATACTAAATGCTAAAAGCCTAACTAGAATACAAAATATTTCTAATAACATTGCCGACACGATGGAGGTATTCTATTTGCCTATCCGGCAAGCTATGCCTCTTTTCACAGCTATTTTTTTCAGTGACGTTATTAGAGCCGACTGGAGGAGCACAGAAATAATACAATCGCAATTGCAATGTGTGTACATGTATACAGAAGTTCTTGGAATTTGCGGTTGCTGCTGCACGTGTTTGCAGCGCAAAAAAAATATTCTTTCGTGTTTCTTAACCGATCTTGATGAAATTTTCAGTAGTAGATATTATTGTACCATAAAATATTCGTGTATTCTCAAAATAACAATTGCATTTGAATTGTGGCTTAATAAGATAGGCAATACAAGTTGGCTTACTTACATGATTTATAGTTTTGTGGTGGTAATGGAAAGGTGGCGATAGGTATAAAATGAAAGATACTTGAAATATATTTACTATTGTAGAAGCTACATGTCAAGTTTTATTTACCAAATCGATTTTTATCGATTACTTGGAAACGGGGCAAGTTATCGTTTATCGGAAACAAACTCGATCTGCGCATGGACTAGGAGGACTTACAGCTAAAATTTCAAGTCTCTAGCGGACAGACGGATGGACGGACGGGCGGACGAAAAGACAGACGGACATGGCTAAATCGACTCGGCTGTTGATGCTGATCAACATTATTATTTACTTTATTAATTACTTTATGGAGTCGGAGATGCTTCCTTCTGCCTGTTACATACATTTGCACAAATACATTATACCCTTTTACCCATTTTCAATGTGTTCAAGGTATAAAGAGAGCTGGCAAAATTGAAGAGTTTCGCTTCAAGCTTACAAAATTATAAAACTGTCTCGGATTTTGGGCAAGTTGCCTTTTGCAACGAGTAAGATAATTCTCACAGCACAAAATAAGTTTGACTTGGATATGGACTCTTAAATTCGAACCAGAATAATTAAACTTTTTAAAATATTTAGACTTCATAATTTTTAAGTTTCTCTGGGAATAACCCAAGGGGTCTTTAAAGAAGTAATCGAAATAATTGGAGGTATCAGCATCAATAACCGAGCCGATCTAGCCAGGACCATCTTTCTGTCCGTCCGTATGGATGAACGTAAGGATCTCAGAACTTATAAGAGCGAGAGACTTGAACGCATGTCCTCCAAGTGCCCGCGCATTGGGAGTTTGTTTCTGATAATCGATAAATTGCCCCGTTTTCAACCAATCGAGAAAAATCAATCTCTTAATCTTATTTTGTGTGCAAATCTCTCAGTTTTTAAGAGCTGAAGTATCTCCAATGTGAAATGCATAGCTATTGCCGCTTCCTGCCACCACTCCATAGCTACAAAAAAAAGTAACAAATCAATTGAAACTATCCACTAATTAAAGTCACAATGTCAAAGAAATTTTTGAGAATATGCAAATATTCTATATCACAATAGGATGTTTTGCTGAAAACTTCATCGATTACGAAACACAGAAGTTATTATAGGAAACCTGTGCTATTTGTATACATGTACACACACATATTCATGCGTATCTTTATTGAATTCTAAAAATATTTCTGCTTGTATTGTAAATGCTGTCTTTTTTATATCTACTTCTGCCATTAATATTTGGTGGTAACCATTTCCTAAATTTAAGGTACTGTGCTTTACCAAGATTGTCTAATACGTCAATGCGTCAATGAATAGATAATGAGTACTTATCTGGAACGATTGTATTCCTGAATTATCGGTTATTTGTAGGAATAACACATATTGGCGAACGTATTTCAAGTACACAACTGTTTACCGATTGGTTGTACTGGAAACGCTTTTAGAACCCATTGATAAGATCATTGATTTTATTTTTAAGATCGCTTCAAAGGGTAAGGGTAAATTGTATAAAATACGAGGAGATATGCTGTTGCGACATAATCAAGTGCAAGTCTCTTGAAATCTCTGTAACTGCATATTTTCGGACTTATGTCCCACAACATGTTACTTAAGAGCATGAGCGGTTATGTAATGATAAGATTCTTTGTTAAATTCAAAATCTCTTTGTTTTCTACTGTAAATTCTTATGTAAGTTTATTAAAATCGTAAAGACAATATTAAATGTACATCATCTGTGGGGGCGAAATTATTAAAACCACAGAGTACTCGACATCAACCTTACATCGATTGAACAACATTGGCGGACTCGCACACACTCTCTCCACCCCGTTTCTGTCACCGCAAGGCATGAACTGGTAACTCCCACAATAGTGCTGACATTGCGCCTCTTGCAAGATTTCATAATTAGGTTTCCACTGCAATCTCTGCACAGTAGTTGATACTGTGAAAGTAGTGATAGAGTGAAAGCTAAAAACAAGAACCCTGTGTCCAATCGGCGATTCGATAGAGAAGGGTGTTAAATACTCTCCCTTATAAATCAAGTCCGTCCTCAGCCTTGGATATTTCGGCCATCGCCGGTTGCGCAGTACGGTTTTGGTAACGCAGACAGCAGACGGTGAAGCTTACAAGCGGTGGCTTTTGGGTGCCGGAAACCTCCATGCTCTTTTTGTAGCGTAGGTTGAACTCATTTATCCTTTGAAGGTAAGGTATGATCAAAATTTCGTTGCGCCTGGTGATATTGGTCAAAAACATTGCTGCTACTCTTGATACTCTTCTTGTGATGTAAATCCGGTTAACAAACTTGGACCCATTCATAAAAGCGGTGTTCTCGAAGGTTACAACGTTCCTTTGCAGAGACTGGAAAAATAGCAACCTTTCGATAGTTGATCTTAAATTAGGGATATTTGATTTAATAATGTTGATATTTTTAACAACTCTCACCCCACCAGCTTTCGTAAGATTATTGGCGCTTACCTCTGTGAATTCAGGGCTCAAAACTGTGTATAGTAGGTTTGAATAAATTTATTTTACCAATGTAATTGAAAGAATGATATTCTGAATTTACACGTTTCGAATTCTATTCCTAGGCAAAAAGGTTCCATAAAGATGTGTCGATGTGTTTCTGTTTCTTTCCCTGCATGAGTTCATTTAAGTCTGAGGTGTCTTATATGGTAGGTTTTTTTACATTTATTTTCCAATGTGATTGAAAGAATGATATTCTGAATTTTAGAACTCTATTTCTAGCCAAAAAGGTTTCATAAAGACGTTTCGGTGTGTTTCTTCTTCTTGCCCTGCAGGAGTTCATTTATAGTCTTTGTCAGGCTGTTTAGCTGTCATCTTGTCCGCGTGTTGATGTCAATCTGTCTGTTATTTTATTCGATAAGTTGGGCTTTCGTAAGTCGCGTTTGGTTAAGAACATCGTGGTATTCCAGTAATCACCTTTTATTATACTTGTCTCCGTTCATTATCGAAATGTGGGTCGAGTGAGAATAGTCGGCCAGTCGTGCTGCCACAATTGGAAGTAGTACTAGTCCGAGTTGCATTTCGTAATGATAAGAAAACAACAGTTCCTTACAATTTCTATGTAAAGGTAAACTGTAACATACTGGATAAAATATGTAAATGTATAAAATTTATAAATATACGTACAATACTCTCGATTTTTTTAGGTTGTCCTTATGTACCACCCTTCCCAAATGAGCTTATACCTTTCTTCCGATCAAAATGAAAACTTGGTGCCGAGGCGTTCATCAACACTTTTACTCCTTCTTTTTCGATCGTGATCTTTAAAGCCGTCTTAAAGTCGCTAGGAGCTGCTTGGATTAAGTCGATCTGTTTCTTATCTGGAGCTTTCTCAAGGCCAGTCTATGGTTAATAATTCCAGTCTATTTCTGTGTCACTATAGTTATTTTGACTTTGATTCGAACTTTCCTGTGTTTCATTATTTACCCTCTGTTCGTAACTGTTGCTCGACACCTTGACTGTCGAAATTTCGACAAGGATGGTTTCACTTCCATAGGCTCGACCGTACTATGCTGTTGCTGATTAGCCAGATTCTGGCTGGACTGACGTAGACCATCCAGTTGCTTAATAAAGAACAGGCTTTTGCCCTGACTATTCCGATGGTTATTATTAGCAGACCTATTCTGAGCCTGAATTCGAGTCTGACTCTTTACGGCCTTTTCTTCAAGACTCGTAGCGTATTTAGTCGCATACACGTAACGCTCATGGTTCGACTCGACCTCCTGAGCCAAAGATTGCGCAGACGGAAAATCATTTGGGTGAGCTGCGAATAAATTATTAGTAAGATTTCTTTTCAAACCCAAATAACGACACAAAGCGTTTCGGTACTTTTTTTTTATGACTAGAGGGTCTGTCTTTTTTCTCCACCGCATTGTACTTTTAAAGTATTGTCATGTTTCCCTGGCGCAGACCTGAAAATTTTTGTTCAATTATAAGTAATGGACACTTGACCACGTATGTAAAATCTTTTTATAATTGCTTGGAAGTTAAGTATTGAAGGCGGCTAGGATGGTATCTGCCGATCCTGAGATTTTATTTCTGATTATCGTGACAGGTTCGTAGTGCCTGGAACTGTCTGTATAAGTACTGTCTGTATGCCAGTACACATATCTATCAGGCCTACCCTCAAACTCTGGAAGGGGGCAACTAAGCGGCTTAACCGAATGCTGCAGTTGCGTGGTCAATCTGTAACTTGCCCTGTTTGAACGTTTAGGGCTGCCTGCAGTTGCTGCATAGTTCTCTCTAACTTTTTTTTTATGCTAATGTAGCTTCAGCGCCTGCTGCATCTATGATGGTTTCTATGTCGTCTTTATTTTGTCTAATTCTCTTTCTAAGGCAAGGGGAACGAACTCAAGGATAAATAAACTTTTATTTTACAATTAAAAAAATCAATTCTGGCCAATTGTGCAATTCGGCACGGCTAAAGATAAGCAACAATGCTTCAGAACTTCATATTATACACTAGTTGGTATTTTTTAACACCTTGCGCATTCTTACACTTATGAGGAAAAACAACTAAAACAGGCGCAAAATATAAAAAACAATACCAGGATTTACGAGCACTTTTTATGACAGACCGTTAACTTAACACTTGATATTTTATTTATTGATTGTTGAAGCAGTTATAATTTTACAAAAAATTTGTTTCATCACAAAAAAATGTTTCATCACCTCGGGAAATAAATGATCTTGAAGTCCAAAATCACTTACAATAATTATAGATGTGTTCCAAGGGTTAAATTAATTCTAGTCCAACGCTGGTCCAGTCCCTCAGCTTTTTGTCTATGTAGAATTAACCGGGTCCTCGCACTGCACTCGTCGCGGTTTCGCCTTTGAACGCTCGGGTGCCAATTATTAATATTAATACATTATTATATTATTAATATAATAAAAGTCTTAATAAATTATAATTCTTTATAAGTCCTAGCGCTAACGATAATGCTTAACTTCTGGTGGCAGCGCTGCAGACGACGACTGCAATAGTGCTGATGACGCTCATCGTGCAATAACTTGCATTTCGGTTTGCCGCTCTAAGCTCTGCACAGTAGCGACGGAGTGATTAGTCTCTGGTACTAAGCACTTGCCTGAGTGCAAGAACTCAGTGTCCAATTCGCACTTCCATAGTGCCTAGTGTTAACTTATTTACTTATGGGGGTGGAGATGTTTCCTTCTACATGTTACATATATTTATACAAAACCATTATACCCTGTTTATCCATGTTCAATGGGTTCATGGTATATAAAGGGGGGAACTCAAGCGAAAGTAAAAAGTCCAACGGCAAACGTCGAAGATAAGCAATGCTGTTGATAAAATTCAATACAAAAGCGTATGAATGTGAATTCTTGACTAACTTTTGTGTTTCTAACCGATCTTGACGAAATTTTCAACAGTATATCTTATTGTACTATAGAAAATTTGCATGTTCTCAAAAAGCCCATTGCATTTAAAATGAGGCTTAAATTTATGGGAAATAGAAATTGGTTTATTTACTTGACTTATAGCTATGTGGTGTTAGCAGGGACGTGGTGATAGCCATTAAACGAAAGATACTTGATATATATATACTATTCTAGAAGCAATCTATCAAGTTTTGTGACTCTATCTCTTACAATTATAAGGTTTGCTCAAAAAACCGGATTTCGATGTCGATTTGTATCGATTACTTGCAAACGAATTCTTCGAATTCTTCGACAAGGCTGACATAGAAGTAACATTCATCAATCATCCTTGTGTGCTGAGCACACAAGACAAGAACAAGACGCTAGGAATTGTTGAACGAAGTCTAAGAACTTTCTATGAATACAGTCGTTCATACATATTAGTAGATAAAACCGTTTGGGACATATGGCTTAAATACTTTGTTTATTTAGCAGAAACCTGAACTTATCAAATCATTTTAATAGCAAAGATGAGATAGAACAACTTTCTAACATAGAATATACAACAAGTAGTACATAAGCCCTGTGAGGCGGCTACCTGGAGCAGCCACCTCACAATCCAGAGTAATGGCACGGACCCTTAGAGTAAGGCAAGAAGCCGCTTGATCTGTATTATATATTATTATTAGTCTGTAAACAATATTATACTAAGAAAAAGAAAAGTAAGGCAATAAGCCGATTGATCTGTATTATATATTTTAACTAGACTGTAAGCAATATTATAAAATAAATAAGAATAAGTAGGGCAAGGAGCCGAATTATTGAAGCGCGGCTAATCAATAATGCGCGGTTAATTATCGGTTACTCAACACCGCCCTCCAGAGCGCAACTTCACTTTGGCGGCGTAAACCGAATGCTCCGAGCGCACGGCTTGAAAGCGAGCTTGCCGGAACGTTAGCTGCAACGAACAAAGTGCGTAGATGTGTGGTGAGGAAGACTCAAGGGAACGAAGACAACTGTAAGTGTGCAGCGGAGCGCTAGGGCTCCAGGCAATGCGGCAGGGCCTTTACGTAGGAAAGGAGAGTAGGGCAGTGCATAATTACCATAGAGAATGAAGTGCTAATAAAAGTAATGCTGATAACGAAATCTGCTAACTATTTTTATTTCCTATTAACATTAATCTCATCATGGCAATCCGGTATTCAGCAAATCCCATTCCCTAACCTAAAGTGTGGTGTCTAGTGATATGAGGCCTCGTCCCGTCGCCTGTGAGAACAATCCCGACTTTCAGTGTGCGTGTGTCTAGACGACCTCAGGCAGATAAGGCCCGCTATATCTATCGAAGGGCATATGCGCAACACTATCGGTAGCGCTAGGACTTAAAAAGAATAATAATTTTTTAAGATTTTACTCCAACTAAGTAGTAGTAAAACAACCAAATAACTTATTAACGAACGTTCAAATGCGAAACCGCAATGAGTTCAGTGCGAGGCTCCGGTAAACTGTACATAGAAGAAAAGGTGAGAGACTCGACCAGCGTTGAAGCAGAACCATAATAACTATAGAAAATGAAGTGTCAATAAAAGTCCTCTTGGTAACTAAGTCTGCTAACTCTTATTATTTCCTATTTACACTAATCTCAGGACATCGTAGCAAGCCAGTGCTCAACATAACCTCCATCCTTAACCTAAAGTGTGGTGTCTAGTGATACGAGGCCTCGTCCCGTCGCCTGTGAGAATAATCCCGGCTTTCAGTGTGCGTGTGTATAGACGACCTCAAGCAGATAACGTCCGCGATATCCATCGAGCGTGCGCAATTTTTCGCCTGGTTTGTCCACACGAGGAGTGGGTGTGTGCTCAGCTAACGACAGGGTAGCGACACCTAGGATTGCCACTGATCCTCGAAGGCGATCTCGAGCAACTTGTGGATGAATTCGTCATCATACCAAAAAATAGAACAGGGTTAACCCGTTTTTAGCGCGGCTTACGCTAGAGTGGATATACCCTACCAAAAGTTCAGCGCGCCAGACGGGCGACGTAGAGAAGCGCTAGCATACGGGTGCACAGACGCGCGCCGCAGTAGACGTTAGCGTCGAAGGGCCGTTAAGGCGTCGCAGCAGCGGCTGAACAGTGGGACGAATTCACCTCACGTACGGTGAAAAGTTGAATCGTCAGTAAAGTCAGCAAAACGGTTTTTTTATTTTGGTGAAGTGAACGATGATACAACATCCAATTAAACAAACCGTTAAGTGAATAAATATATGAAAAAGAATAAACAAGTATAAAAAAAGAACCGAAGGAAAAAGAAATATATATAGTGACATATGTACCACACCCACAACATATAATTTAAGCACATACACACATAACATATGTCCACAGCACCTAATGCATACCCCTTATACATAAGCCCTAGCAACTAAGCGCACCAGATATGTAACACGAGACACCCCAATTTGTAACAATAAACCTAGAGCCCCAAAAATCATAAATTCTTGGTGAAAATAACAATTCTGGCGTGGGACCGATCATAAAATCGAAAACCATTAGACATAAACATCCGCCACAATCGTTATTCCCAACAAATGCCCAAATTGCCAACGCAGCTCAAATTCAGGCTCTTAGAATATTCCAGAAACTCATTAAAGAGAATCAAACTTGATAGATTGCTTCTAGAATAGTATATATATATATCAAGTATCTTTCGTTTAATGGCTATCACCACGTCCCTGCTAACACCACACGCTATAAATCAAGTAAATAAACCAATTTCTATTTCCCATAAATTTAAGCCTCATTTTAAATGCAATGGGCTTTTTGAGAACATGCAAATTTTCTATAGTACAATAAGATATACTGTTGAGAATTTCGTCAAGATCGGTTAGAAACACAAAAGTTAGTTAAGAAAATGTTTTTTGGTTGTCCACATGTTTACGGCAGCTAGCGCAAATTGCAAAAATTCCTGTATACATGTACAAACACTTACATTCATACGCTTTTGTATTGAATTCTATCAACAGCATTGCTTATTTTCGACGTTTGCCGTTGGACTTTTTACTTTCGCTTAAGTTCCCCCCCTTTATATACCATGAGCCCATTGAACATGGGTAAAGAGGGTATAATGGTTTTGTATAAATTTATGTAACATGTAGAAGGAAACATCTCCACCCCCATAAGTATATAAGTTAACACTAGGCACTATGGAAGCGCGAATTGGACACTGGGTTCTTGCACTCAGGCAAGTGCTTAGTACCAGAGACTAATCACTCCGTCGCTACTGTGCAGAGCTTAGAGCGGCAAACCGAAATGCAAGTTATTGCACGATGAGCGTCATCAGCACTATTGCAGTCGTCGTCTGCAGCGCTGCCACCAGAAGTTAAGCATTATCGTTAGCGCTAGGACTTATAAAGAATTATAATTTATTAAGACTTTTATTATATTAATAATATAATAATATATTAATATTAATAATTGGCACCCGAGCGTTCAAAGGCGAAACCGCGACGAGTGCAGTGCGAGGACCCGGTTAATTCTACATAGACAAAAAGCTGAGGGACTGGACCAGCGTTGGACTAGAATTAATTTAACCCTTGGAACACATCTATAATTATTGTAAGTGATTTTGGACTTCAAGATCATTTATTTCCCGAGGTGATGAAACATTTTTTTCCCTCTTGTAAAATTATAGCTGCTTCAACAGCAATAAATAAAATATCAAGTGTTAAGTTAACGGTCTGTCATAAAAAGTGCTCGTAAATCCTGGTATTGTTTTTTATATTTTGCGCCTGTTTTAGTTGTTTTTCCTCATATGTGTATGAATGCGCAAGGTGTTAAAAAATACCAACTAGTGTATAATATGAAGTTCTGAAGCATTGTTGCTTATCTTTAGCCGTGCCGAATTGCACAATTGGCCAGAATTGATTTTTTTAATTGTTAAATAAAAGTTTATTTATCCTTGTGTTCGTTCCCCTTGCTTTAGAAAGAGAATTAGACAAAATAAAGACGACATAGAAACCATCATAGATGCAGCAGGCGCTGAAGCTACATTAGCATAAAAAAAAAGTTAGAGAGAACTATGCAGCAACTGCAGGCAGCCCTAAACGTTCAAACAGGGCAAGTTACAGATTGACCACGCAACTGCAGCTTTCGGTTAAGCCGCTTAATTGCCCCCTTCCAGAGTTTTGAGGGTAGGCCTGATAGATATGTGTACTGGCGACAGGCTGTAGAGGCAACATACAGGAAATATGAATCTTATACAGACAGTTCCACGCACTACGAACCTGTCACGATAATCAGAAATAAAATCTCAGGATCGGCAGATACCATCCTAGCCGCCTTCAATACTTAACTTCCAAGCAATTATAAAAAGATTTTACATACGTGGTCAAGTGTCCATTACTTATAATTGAACAAAAATTTTCAGGTCTGCGCCAGGGAAACATGACAATACTTTAAAAGTACAATGCGGTGGAGAAAAAAGACAGACCCTCTAGTCATAAAAAAAAAGTACCGAAACGCTTTGTGTCGTTATTTGGGTTTGAAAAGAAATCTTACTAATAATTTATTCGCAGCTCACCCAAATGATTTTCCGTCTGCGCAATCTTTGGCTCAGGAGGTCGAGTCGAACCATGAGCGTTACGTGTATGCGACTAAATACGCTACGAGTCTTGAAGAAAAGGCCGTAAAGAGTCAGACTCGAATTCAGGCTCAGAATAGGTCTGCTAATAATAACCATCGGAATAGTCAGGGCAAAAGCCTGTTCTTTATTAAGCAACTGGATGGTCTACGTCAGTCCAGCCAGAATCTGGCTAATCAGCAACAGCATAGTACGGTCGAGCCTATGGAAGTGAAACCATCCTTGTCGAAATTTCGACAGTCAAGGTGTCGAGCAACAGTTACGAACAGAGGGTAAATAATGAAACACAGGAAAGTTCGAATCAAAGTCAAAATAACTATAGTGACACAGAAATAGACTGGAATTATTAACCATAGACTGGCCTTGAGAAAGCTCCAGATAAGAAACAGATCGACTTAATCCAAGCAGCTCCTAGCGACTTTAAGACGGCTTTAAAGATCACGATCGAAAAAGAAGGAGTAAAAGTGTTGATGAACGCCTCGGCACCAAGTTTTCATTTTGATCGGAAGAAAGGTATAAGCTCATTTGGGAAGGGTGGTACATAAGGACAACCTAAAAAAATCGAGAGTATTGTACGTATATTTATAAATTTTATACATTTACATATTTTATCCAGTATGTTACAGTTTACCTTTACATAGAAATTGTAAGGAACTGTTGTTTTCTTATCATTACGAAATGCAACTCGGACTAGTACTACTTCCAATTGTGGCAGCACGACTGGCCGACTATTCTCACTCGACCCACATTTCGATAATGAACGGAGACAAGTATAATAAAAGGTGATTACTGGAATACCACGATGTTCTTAACCAAACGCGACTTACGAAAGCCCAACTTATCGAATCAAATAACAGACAGATTGACATCAACACGCGGACAAGATGACAGCTAAACAGCCTGACAAAGACTATAAATGAACTCCTGCAGGGCAAGAAGAAGAAACACACCGAAACGTCTTTATGAAACCTTTTTGGCTAGAAATAGAGTTCTAAAATTCAGAATATCATTCTTTCAATCACATTGGAAAATAAATCTAAAAAAACCTACCATATAAGACACCTCAGACTTAAATGAACTCATGCAGGGAAAGAAACAGAAACACATCGACACATCTTTATGGAACCTTTTTGCCTAGGAATAGAATTCGAAACGTGTAAATTCAGAATATCATTCTTTCAATTACATTGGTAAAATAAATTTATTCAAACCTACTATACACAGTTTTGAGCCCTGAATTCACAGAGGTAAGCGCCAATAATCTTACGTGGGGTGAGAGTTGTTAAAGATATCAACATTATTAAATCAAATATCCCTAATTTAAGATCAAGTATCGTAAGGTTGCTATTTTTCCAGTCTCTGACAAAGGAACGTTGTAACCTTCGAGAACACCGCTTTTATGAATGGGTCAAAGTTTGTTAACCGCATTTGCATCACAATAAGAGTATCAAGAGTAGCAGCAATGTCTTTGACCAATATCATCAGGCGCAACGAAATTTCCTTACCTTCAAAGGATAAATGAGTTCAACCTACGCTACAAAAAGAGCATGGAGGTTTCCGGCACCCAAAAGCCACCGCTTGTAAGCTTCACCGTCTGCTGTCTGCGTTACCAAAACCGTACTGCGCAACCGGCGATGGCCGAAATATCCAAGGCTGAGGACGGACTTGATTTATAAGGGAGAGTATTTAACACCCTTCTCTATCGAATCGCCGATTGGACACAGGGTTCTTGTTTTTAGCTTTCACTCTATCACTACTTTCACAGTATCAACTACTGTGCAGAGATTGCAGTGGAAACCTAATTATGAAATCTTGCAAGAGGCGCAATGTCAGCACTATTGTGGGAGTTACCAGTTCATGCCTTGCGGTGACAGAAACGGGGTGGAGAGAGTGTGTGCGAGTCCGCCAATGTTGTTCAATCGATGTAAGGTTGATGTCGAGTACTCTGTGGTTTTAATAATTTCGCCCCCACAGATGATGTACATTTAATATTGTCTTTACGATTTTAATAAACTTACATAAGAATTTACAGTAGAAAACAAAGAGATTTTGAATTTAACAAAGAATCTTATCATTACATAACCGCTCATGCTCTTAAGTAACATGTTGTGGGAGATAAGTCCGAAAATATGCAGTTACAGAGATTTCAAGAGACTTGCACTTGATTATGTCGCAACAGCATATCTCCTCGTATTTTATACAATGTTCACTTAAATGATACAATGCACTCTTACCCTTTGAAGCGATCTTAAAAATAAAATCAATGATCTTATCAATGGGTTCTAAAAGCGTTTCCAGTACAACCAATCGGAAAACAGTTGTGTACTTGAAATACGTTCGCCAATATGTGTTATTCCTACAAATAACCGATAATTCAGGAAAACAATCGTTCCAGATAAGTACTCATTATCTATTCATTGACGCATTGATGTATTAGACAATCTTGGTAAAGCCCAGTACCTTAAATTTAGGAAATGGTTACCACCAAATATTAATGGCAGAAGTAGATATAAAAAAGACAGCATTTACAATACAAGCAGAATTATTTTTAGAATTCAATAAGGATACGCATGAATATGTGTGTGTACATGTATATGTGGAAGCATAAGTAGTTTGAATATGTTGGCGCAGTGGCGGCGTGTGCTGGAAATGTATGTGAGAATTGTATTGAGTTTGTGTTAGTGCGTATTTGGGTATTTCACTAGAATCGCAAGTACATTGCGATATTGCGTCAATCTGTTTGTGTGTCTGTTTTGTTGTCTGTTTTACTATGTAGTTTGGAAAAGTCCCGTTTTGGTGGGCGACAGCGTCTGTAGCTGTCGCCGAGTGTGGTTCGGTAGGAAGGCACGAGAAAAAGGGAAGACACAAAGTTAGTTGTGTTTAGGATCCCGGTGCGACCGAAACTCGCTGCGCCTAAAACGATGGCAACTAGTAACGAAAATAATGACGCTGCAACATCAGAAGTGGGATCTGGCTCGCTACCTAATACGTCAATTGATCCATGGCGAGTGTTAATGGAAGTACAAAATAAAAATTTTATTGAACTTGTGAAAGCATTGAAATCAACGGCTTCCGGAACAAAGAATAATAATGCAGTAGTTTTGCCGAAATTTAACGCGGATCTTGTAGGCGCCGACGCATCGGCGTGGTGCGCTACAGTAAATATAATTTTGGCAGAAAACAACATAAAAGGCAGTGCGTTGGTGATGGCTTTGAGTGCAGCATTGGAAGGCAGTGCGTCGCAGTGGCTCTCACAAATATGTTATCCTGAAATAAATTGGGCTGATTTTAAGGAACTTTTTCTTCAGCGCTTTACCAGTGTTGAGACACCAGCAGCTATGTTGTTAACAATGTTATCAACTTGCCCGACTGAAGGAGAATGTCTCTCCAATTATGCTAGTCGCATGGTGACGTCACTCATCACCAAATGGCGTGAGATGGATGTGGAGGAGATTGCTGTTTCCGTGACGCTTGCTCAGCTGGCTCATATTGATAGCAGATTGCAACGTCTTACCTTTACATCAAACGTGCGCACCAGGAGTGAACTACAGACAGAGCTAAAAGCTTTTACGTTCAACAAACGAAAGAAATCCTCACAAGAAGAAACAGCGGCATCCGACTCGAAACGACAGAAATTTTCAACAATAAAATGTCATTACTGTGGAAAGTTGGGTCACAAGATGGTTGAATGCAGAGCTAGACAGCAGCAAAATCTTCCTCCCCGTGCTGCTGAGCGTAGCGGCAAGAGCGTGTTTGGTCACCAGCAGCAATCAAATTTAACCTGCTTCAAGTGTGGAGAGGTTGGACACATTTCAACCCATTGCAGTAAGCCCAAAATGGACAAATTCAAAGATACGCATCAGGTGAAAAGAGTGCAGCTATGCGAAGTTGATGTGCCCAAAGGAGAGATGATTCACCATGACGAGACTTTCACGACAACGTTTGTCTCTGAAATGTTCATTGGTTAAACAAAAGATAAGTGCTAAGTTAGTTGGTAAAAGAATTTACAATACAGTAATGTTGAAAGGTATTGGAAATGACAGCATTTGTAGTACAATGCAAATACTTGGCAAGGTACAAATTAACAATCATTGTATTGAAATGTTATTCCATGTTTTGGGTGATGAATATTTGAAAAATGATATTATGATTGGTAGAGAAATACTGTCGCAAGGATTTTATGTCATTATGTCACCTGGAAAATTTTAAATTGTTAGATCAAAATCTGTTAACTTTTGTTCAAATGATGATGTATTTTCTAAATTGAATACTGATCTTGTCGGTGAAGATAAAGATAAATTTAACAATTTATTGAAAAACTATTCATAATCTTTTACAAAGGGAATTCCTTCATCTACTGTCAGTACAGGTGAAATGAAGATTAAATTAGTAGACAATAGAAAAATTGTTCAAAGAAGACCATACAGGCTTAGTCCAAATGAAAGAGAATTGGTACGCGACAAGATTAAAGAGCTTTTGGAATGCAATGTCATAAGGCCAAGGTGCTAAATATTTCACTTGTTTGGATATGGCAAGCGGATATTACCAAATCCCATTGCATGAAGAATCAATAGAGTGTACGGCTTTTGTCACCCCAGATGGCCAGTTCGAGTTTTTGTCAATGCCGTTTGGTCTGAAAAATGCACCTTCAGTTTTTCAGCGTACAGTGATGCATACACTTGGAGAACTGGCAAATACTTTTGTGGTTGTCTATATGGATGACGTGTTAGTGGTGGCTGCAACGAAAAGTGAGGCTTTGGAAAGACTACAGGTTACTCTTGATGTTCTCACGAAAGCTGGTTTCTTGTTCAATATTAAAAAGTGTTCGTTTCTGAAGTCAAGTGTTCAATATTTGGGATATGAAGTGAGCGAAGGTCAAATTCGTCCAAATTCTAAAAAAATTTCTGCATTAACTGCCTTACCACCTCCTCAGTCGGTTTCTGCTTTAAGACAATTTATTGGACTTGCGTCTAACTTTCGGCAATTTATACAGGGATTTTCTTGTTTCTTGAAGCCTTTGTATTTGTTGACATCGGAAAAGAACGAGTTTATTTGGAAGCCAGAACATGAAGAAATAAGACAAAAAGTTATATCTGTTCTTACACAGAAGCCAGTTTTGGTTATTTTTGACCCGCAATATCCAATCGAGTTGCATAATGATGCAAGTGCTCGTGGATACGGTGCCATCTTGTTGCATAGAATAGATAACAAGCCCCATGTCGTTGAGTTCTTCAGTAAGGCTGCCTCACCTGCCGAGTCAAGATACCATTCTTACGAATTGGAGACACTCGCGGTTGTCATGGCCATTAAGCATTTTCGTCATTATTTGACAGGCAGAGATTTTGTTGTCTTTACCGATTGCAATTCGCTTAAAGCATCAAGAAATAAACGTGACCTATCGCCCAGAGCACAAAGATGGTGGGCTTAATTACAGTCGTTCTCATTTGAATTACAGTATAGAGAGGGTAAACGAATGGCTCATGCTGATTTCTTTTCAAGAAATCTCCCATCTGCTGATGCAATTGATGCTCGTAAAGTTTCTGAAAAAAGAATTAATCTGGCAGAGATATCTAGTGATTGGCTGATGGCTGAACAACGCAAGGATTCCGATATAATTAATATTGTGAATAAACTAAAAGACAATTCTCTTGCCGAGGACATTGCAAAAACTTACGAACTAAGAGCAGGAATAATTCATTGGAAAATACAGAGAAATGGCAGAACTCGATCTTTGCCAGTTGTTCCAAGAGCATTTAGATGGTCCGTTATTAATCAAACATTGGACAAAGCCTACGATTTTTACTGGTTTGAAAATATGTCAAAATATGTAAGGAAATTTGTTGAAAACTGTATAACTTGCAAGATGTCAAAGTCATCCTCAGGTAAAGTTCAGGCTAGACTTTTTCCAATACCAAAGGTCGACACACCTTGGCATACAATACACATAGACATAACAGGCAAGATAAGTGGCAAGATTGATCAAAAAGAGTATGTTATTGTTCAAGTGGACGCTTTTACTAAATTTGTTTACTTAACACACACACTCAAGATTGATGCTGACAATTGCATAGGTGCTGTGACATCGGCTGTATCCTTGTTTGGACTATCAAACCGCATAATAGCAGATCAGGGTAGGTGTTTTGCCAGCTCTAAATTTAGTGAATTCTGTTCTAAACAAAATATAAGTTTGCACTTAACTGCGACAGGTGCAAGTAGAGCTAACGGACAGGTAGAACGCATTATGAGCACTTTGAAAAACATATTAACGGCAGTTGAAACTAGCAGCAAATCTTGGCAAGACGCATTAGGCGAGGTACAGCTAGCCTTAAATTGTACTGTAAGTCGAGTGACAAAGGCAAGCCCTTTGGAATTGTTCATTGGCAAGGTTGCTCGTCCGTTGGGGTTGCTTCCACCATGTGACGTGGCACAAGAAGTTGATTTGGCAGAATCAAGAGCTCGAGCAGTGCAAAATATATCAGCGGCGGCAGCATATAGCAAAGGGCAATTTGATAAAACTAAGGCTAAGGTTGTTGGGTATTGTTGCGGGACGAATTAAGTTATCGATTGTTTAGTATTAAGTATATTCTGAAAGTATGTATTTTTGCCCTGTGAATGTACGGGCACATTGTATTTGGCTTGTTGCCGCCATCACTTAAATGTTAAGCTCATTATTGTCGTGAGTTAGAAGGCCGTAGGAGGGAAGACTGCGGTAAGATTCTGAGGGAATATATATTTAAGTTCTAACCTATATAATCCGTTCAGAATAAAACACTTGCACTAGCACGTTTTGCATTACGCTGTCTCTATTAACATCGGAGTAACATGGCCAGGGGCCAGGCGTAAACCTTGCAGTGTTCAAATTGCAACTCCGCCTTCGTTTGGCACGCGACATGATCTTTTATTCGCAGTTCTTATTGTAAGAAACTGCAAGGGCGACTTGCACTGGAGACAAGACGTGGTGTAACTTTGGAGTTACAGTGCGTGTAGATAGACACAGCACAGGCAGGGCCTCCACCCCAGTTATAGAGTTACCATTGGTACGCAGCCAGCGTAAAATATAGTAGAAGTCATCTCCGAGCTGAACAGGATGACACAACGGTCTCCCAGGAAAAGCCCACGCCTGAATGATGGCCAGGAGATAACTACCACGGCGAGTGAGGCGCAGCCGAAGCGGACAAGTAGAATGGTGAGCACTGTATCACAAATGCAAGTTCCCGCTGTGAGCGCGCCACAAAGCCCCAGCACCGTGGATGTGGGCACAAGTGTACAACCTGCCGGCACTGTGGCCGCAGGAGTGAGTGCACGAGCCAGCATATTGACAGGAGCGCCAAGCCCAAGCACGCAACTCTCAAGTGCTCAAGTCATGGATTTGATAAAGAGAGTCGCTGCGCTAGAGCACGAGTTGCAGAGGTCAAAAACTGGTCAAGCACATGTGAGTACAGTTACTGATCCCGTTAAATTGAGTGATGCTGGCGTGGGTCGTACAGCTAACCTGCCGCCATTTTTGAGTGGAGAGCCATCGTCGAGTGGAAGTTTGAGTGAAACTGCAATTATGAGTGGAGTCCCAAATTCAAGTGTTAGTTTGAGTGAAACTGCAATTTTGAGTGGAACTGCCATTTTGAGCAGATCGCCATCTTTGAGTGAGGCATTGCCTACTTCATTGAGTGGAAATTTGGGACCACAGTTGCAAACGGTAGAACGAGCTCCAGTTACGGATAACTGTTCTACAACATCAAGCCGCTCGACGCCATATTGTTCTGCAGGCATTGCGCAGTCAACGCTCAGCTACACGCCGGCACAAGAGAACCAACCAGTGATCATTTTGGAGCCAACGCAGGCAACTGGGAACTTCGCATGGGCGACACCCAGGAACGATGTATGCCTGCTACGCAAATTACCAGATCTACCTGAGTTTGGAGGCCAACCTGAGGATTGGCCTATATTCTTCTGCGCGTTTACGGAAACAACTTTGGCGTACAACTGTACGAATCTGGAGAATAACCAGCGATTGTTGAAGGCACTCAAAGGCGAAGCACGTGATACTGTGAAGTCGTTGCTCATACATCCCAGGAATGTGAACAACGTGATGGAACAATTACGTTTTAGATACGGCCGCCCAGAACAACTAATACGCAGCCAGCTAATTAGTATTCGAGAGGTGCAGCCAATTCAAGAGCACAGCATAGCGAAAATCGTGCCATTTGCTACACGAGTGAGTAACCTTGCCGCCTTTCTACAATCAGCTAACGGAGAACAGCATTTAGCGAATCCTACACTGATGGAGGATTTGGTCGCTAAGCTACCACCAAGCAAGAGGGTGGAGTGGGCCAGACATGCAGCTACGATTAGGCCTTTCCCGACTGTCGTACATTTAAGCGCGTGGTTAACGGACTACGCCAATTTGGTATGTACGATTGTGGACGTCGATGGTAAGGAGCAGAAGCGTAGAGTGCTGCATGCCAGCATTGACCAGAATAATGAAGGGCGACACCGAGGTCGCACCAAACAGTGTCCAATCTGTAATGGACAACACGCAGTCAGGGACTGCAACGAGTTTAACTTAGCCTCTCCGCTGAAAAGGTGGACGTTTGTTAAAAGGCACCGGCTTTGTTTCTCGTGCCTACGAGATGGCCACATGGCAAGAGTCTGCAAAAGGGCAAACGAATGTCAAGTCAATGGATGCCGGAAGAGGCATCATCGCCTTTTACATGATCATGATGCTATGAGTCACAATGCACCGCAGCCAGCAGGTGATAGAGTGATGAATACTGGACGGATGCCGCAGCCAGCGGATCCGCATACAAGAGCACCGCAGCCAGTGGATGCTCAATTGACGCAACAAAGGAATTTAAGTTGTGTCGATTCGGATGGAGAACGCCTACTATTCCGCATATTGCCAGTGACATTGCACGGGGCCAATAAGCGGATCGATACGTATGCGCTCCTAGACGAGGGCTCGTCCGTAACTATGATAGACGACGAGCTACTGCGCGACCTAGATGTCAAAGGGGAACGCAGGCAACTAAATATACAGTGGTTTGGTGGAAGAGCAACCAGAGAGCCGACCACAGTGGTAAGCATGGAAATTAGTGGAGCGGACAAACGCAAACGTTATATGCTGCGAAATGTGTACGCCGTGTCCAACCTGAGCTTACCAATGCAAAGTCTGCATCGACGTGATGTACAAACGTTGGACAACGGTGCACGACTTCCAATGAAACCGTATCGCGGGGCGGTACCAAAACTTCTGATTGGACTTGACCATGCGCATCTTGGACTGCCAATGCAAACAAGAAGGTTTGCACCACAGGGACCATATGCCGCAGCCACCGAACTTGGATGGGTGGTTTTTGGGCCGGTAAGAGGTCAGCCGACGGCAACGTCAACAAAGTCATGCCTCCTAGCAGTGTCGCAGGAGGATGCAATCCAAAAGATGGTAAACGACTATTTTGATATCGAGAACTTCGGTGTGAAGCTTACGTCACCAGTCGCAGCCAGCGACGATGCACGAGCACAAAAGATACTCGAAGACACCACGGTGAAAATAGGGGAACGTTACCAGACAGGTTTATTATGGAACCGTGATAATGTTGAGTTGCCACGAAGCTACGATATGGCATACAAAAGATTGGTCAACATTGAGAGAAAGATGAAGCGTAACGATCAGTTTAAACGAGCCTATATGAAAATTATGGACGATTATGTTCATAAAGGATATGCTCGACGCTTGAAGCATCATGAGGTCGCTTTAGCCAACAGCGACAAACTTTGGTATCTGCCGCACTTTGGAGTTGAAAATCCAAATAAGCCCGGTAAGATAAGACTGGTGTTCGACGCGGCAGCAAAGGTCGGTGACATTTCATTGAATTCGGCATTATCCAAGGGGCCGCAGCACTACAAGTCGCTGCCGGCTGTTCTCTTCCATTTCCGGGAAGGTGCGGTTGGCGTTTGTGGAGACTCAGAGAGATGTTCCATCAGGTGTTGATTCGACCGCAGGATAGATGCGCCCAGCGATTCTTGTGGCGAAACGGCGATGATCGCCGGGAGCCTGATGTTTATGAGATGAGGGTAATGACATTTGGAGCAGCATGCTCGCCAAGCACCGCGCACTATGTGAAGACCTTGAATGCCCTGCAGTATCAGGATTCAGACCCTCGCGCGGTTAAAGCTATTCTTGAATGTCATTATGTGGACGACTATGTGGATAGTTTTGATAGTGAAGGCGACGCCATCGCCATATCAACAAGAATAAGAGAAATACATGCAAATGCTGGATTTGAATTGTGCCAGTTTACTTCTAGTTCGCCAACCGTAGCCGACGCCCTGGGCCAACACGGGGCTGCTAGGAGCATCGGATGGGGCGAAGCTGAAGAAAAGATTCTGGGCATGTGTTGGCAGCCAGCCACGGACGATTTCAAATTCAACATGAAGTACCACAAAGTACCCCGATGTGTGCTAAATTTGGAGCGAGTACCTACGAAGAGGGAATTCTTGAGCTTGATCATGTCAACATTTGATCCTTTGGGATTTCTTAGCTGTCTCATGATAACTGGAAAGTTACTTATGCGTGAGATCTGGCGACGAAATGTGCAATGGGATGAACCCTTACCAGATGAGATCGCCCGCCGCCTTTAGTAAATGGCTTCAGGATATGAACAATGTGGAAGGATTTCGAAGCTCGCGCCATTACTTTGGCCCAATACCCGTGCGGGCAATACAACTGCACGTTTTTGTCGACGCTAGCCAGTCAGCATTCGCAGCTGTGGCTTACTTAAGGGTAACCTACGACAACAACGACGTGCGAGTATGCTTCGTATGTGCCAAGACGAAATGTGCCCCAATGAAAACGATGTCAATTCCACGACTGGAATTGCAAGCTGCTGTGTTAGGAACGAGGCTGATGGACACTGTCAAAAAGGAGCACAGTATAGCGATCAGCGATGCCATACTATGGACTGACTCAAAGACAGTGCTGCGTTGGATAGGCAGCACCCACCGTCGATATAAGCAGTTCGTCGGAAATCGAGTGGGAGAAATTTTGGAGTCAACAAAGGTTTCCCAATGGAGATGGGTACCTACTGCTGAAAATGCAGCAGACGACGCAACGAGGCCGCACTGCCACGTAGACCTCAGCCAACGGTCACGATGGTTAGACGGGCCAACATTTTTGCGGCAGCCGGAAAGCAGCTGGCCGCAGCCCGAACCGGGCACCGAACACAAATCCTGCGATGATGAAGAAGAGATGCCGAGTGAATTTGCCTTAGTTGCAGCAAATAACTTTTTCATTTCATTTCAGAGATTCTCTAGCTACAGTCGGCTGGTGAGGACGACGGCTTGGGTTCTAAGGTTCACGCGCTGGTGCCGTGGACATAGGACTGAGCTTGAGAGATTCGGCCTCACCGCTACGGAATGTGAGGACGCTGAGAACTTGCTGATACGGCGAGCGCAATGCGAAGCATTCCCTGACGAGGTTCGAGCCTCGTACAATGAAGAATCAGTCGGTCATCGAAGCGAAATAAGAGGGCTGGCGCCCTACTTGGATGACAATGGAGTCTTGCGTGCGTATGGCAGGATCGATGCCGCACTGTGTATACCGCATAGTGCGAGAAGGCCAATAATCTTGTCACACCGGCACGCACTGACGGAACTGATTGTGTATCACTACCATGTGAAAATGAAGCATCAAAACGTGGATGCAACGATGGGCGACATCAGGACCAGATTTTGGATAACAAAGCTGCGTCGAGTGTTGCGTACAGTAATATCTGGATGTAGTGTGTGCAAGCTACATAGAGCGCAGCCAGCGCCACCTATAATGGGTCCTTTGCCAGAGGACAGACTGGAGGCCAATGGATGGCCATTTAAGTTTACGGGTCTGGACTACTTTGGACCACTTCTAGTGACCATCGGACGTCGAAAGGAAAAGAGATGGGTTGCCTTGTTTACGTGTCTGACAACAAGGGCCATACATTTGGAGTTGGCACATGACCTGTCAACTGATTCCTGCATAATCGTGATCAGGAACTTTCTTTGCCGTCGCGGGCCTGTACTGAGGTTGCGCAGTGACAACGGAAAGAATTTTGTTGGGGCCAATAGAGAAGCCAAAAGGCTCATAGATGTATTCGAGCCGGAGAAGATTCAGGGTGAGCTATCTTCTAGAGGCATTGAATGGATTTTTAACTGCCCAGCGAACCCAGCTGAAGGAGGAGCCTGGGAAAGGATGGTGCAGTGTGTCAAGAGAGTGCTTCGCCACACAGTAAAGGAGGTGGCACCGAAGCAACACGTGTTGGAGAGTTTCCTGATTGAGGCCGAGAATGTTGTGAATTCGCGCCCGCTTACTCACTTGCCAGTATCTGTGGATCAGGAAGCCCCCCTAACACCGAACGATCTACTCAAGGGAGTAGCCAATCTGCCTGACACACCCACTATTCATGAGCAGCCGGACGAGAGATGCGCCACAAGGAAGCAGTGGCGCATAGCGCGGCTATTACGAGATCGTTTTTGGAAGCGGTGGGTCTTGGAGTACCTGCCTACACTTGTGCGACGCGTGAAATGGTGTGCGCGCGTTGAGCCGATACGCCATGGTGATGTGGTGTTTATATGCGACCCAGCCGTGCCACGCAGGGAGTGGCGAAGGGGCATAGTGGAGGAGCTCTACCCTGGACCAGATGGAGTACCTCGACGCGCCAGCGTACGCGTGGCGGACGGCAATCGAGTGCGACTGATGACTCGTCCCGTGGCTAAACTAGCCATATTGGATGTGAGTGAAGCAGGGCCTTCACGGGGGCGGGGATGTTGCGGGACGAATTAAGTTATCGATTGTTTAGTATTAAGTATATTCTGAAAGTATGTATTTTTGCCCTGTGAATGTACGGGCACATTGTATTTGGCTTGTTGCCGCCATCACTTAAATGTTAAGCTCATTATTGTCGTGAGTTAGAAGGCCGTAGGAGGGAAGACTGCGGTAAGATTCTGAGGGAATATATATTTAAGTTCTAACCTATATAATCCGTTCAGAATAAAACACTTGCACTAGCACGTTTTGCATTACGCTGTCTCTATTAACATCGGAGTAACATGGCCAGGGGCCAGGCGTAAACCTTGCAGTGTTCAAATTGCAACTCCGCCTTCGTTTGGCACGCGACAGGTATGAAGTAGGAGACTTTGTGTTGTTGAAGAATGAAGAAAGGCATCAAACAAAGTTAAGTCCAAAGTATAGAGGACCTTTGCAAATTATTCAAGTACTAGACGGAGATAGATATATCCTCACGTCGTTGACAAATAATAGGTAGTTCAAGTACGCTCATGAAGATATAAGGAAATTGCCAGAGGGATCTGTTCCAGATAATTTAGAAAGTTGTGATGAGGATTTGAATGATATTGAAAGGGAAGCTGTTGCAAGAGACAGTAATGAAATGATAGAAAAAGAAACTGTTGAAAGAGACAGTAATGAAGTGATTGATAAGGAAGCTGTTGAAAGAGACAGTATTGGAATGATGGAAAGTCAAACTGTTGAAAGAGACAGTATGGATGCCTGAAAGGCTGATAATAAAACTTGAATAAATTTGTCATATCTGTAATGCGAGCACAAGTGCAAAACAAATGTTTTGATCATATAATAATGTAACGCGAAACCAAGTGGGTTTATGATAATGAAGAGAATTATTAAGAAAGTTTAATTAAGTAAAAGATGAATTTTATATTAGTTTAAGAACTAAGAATGGATGTTTAAATTCTGCATAAAGCTATGAAGTTTAAAATAAAAAATTAAATTAAATAAAATAAATAAGTTGTAATTGAGAAATTTATAAGAAAAAGGAAATGTTAATGTTACATTTTATTTGATGATTTATAAATAAAATGATTTAGGAAGCTGAGCATTTTTCTAGAATTACACGAGGTCGTGTTATGGTCAGGTTGGCCGTGTGGAAGCATAAGTAGTTTGAATATGTTGGCGCCGTGGCGGCGTGTGCTAGAAATGTATGTGAGAATTGTATTGAGTTTGTGTTAGTGCGTATTTGGGTATTTCACTAGAATCGCAAGTACATTGCGATATTGCGTCAGTCTGTTTGTGTGTCTGTTTTGTTGTCTGTTTTACTATGTAGTTTGGAAAAGTCCCGTTTTGGTAGGCGACAGCGTCTGTAGCTGTCGCCGAGTGTGGTTCGGTAGGAAGGCACGAGAAAAAGGGAAGACACAGAGTTAGTTGTGTTTAGGATCCCGGTGCGACCGAAACTCGCTGCGCCTAAAACGATGGCAACTAATAACGGAAATAATGACGCTGCAACATATAGATGTGTTGTTATTCATCGCTCTGGCTTTGGCTGGCAAAGAAATAGATTTTTAGTTTTCTAGCGTTGATCATGCACCTATCCCAAATTTGTGTTGATATATGAATGCATGTTGTGTACTGAGGTTGGCTCTGTAGAAAATCTGTATTTTTAAGTCGATGCAAATATTTATATAATTTCTTTAAATTAAATGAACAATTATTTATTATTATTTTTATTTTATTAAAAATTAAAACAGTGTCAAAAAATACAAATAGGGTTAATTAAATACGTCGGTAGCTAGTTCGACCGGCAAAACATTTGCACCGACTTTAAAAAACAGATTTTCTACAGAGCCAACCTCATTACACAACATGCGTTCATATGTCAACACAAATTTGGGATAAGGCATGCATGATCAGCGCTAGAAAACGAAAGCCAGAGCAGTGAATAACAACACATTCAAATATGCTGCTATGTATGTATACTAACACACATACAAACATAATTGCTTGCACGGCTCTCATAGAGCCGAAGCGGAGAATACATTATATTTTTAGCTTTTCGCTCTTTCGGCTGTGAGAGCGCAATGATACTGGTTTCGTTTTCGCTCTCAAATTTCAAACAAGTAAGATGTTCTAGTCGGGAGCTTCCGACTAGGGGATACCCTGAACTCTCTTATACCAACAGCAAATGCAGCTTGCGCTACGCGCTCGTTTGCTTTAGTAGTAGAAAACTAAAAGAAATTGTACAAAAAAAGTTCCCTTACCATGGTTCGAACTCGTAACTTACCGCTCAAATTGCTACCGACTCTACAAAACAGTCATACTAGCCAAAAAAAAAAAAACATTTTCCTCGTCAGGGTTAGAACTCGCAACAATCCGCACAACTTGCGCCACCTCTACTCTCCAGCCACACTATTCATTGAGTCTAAATGAGAAAAAAAAGAATTAAAATAGCAGAACAGAAACCAATACAATCGCAATTGCAACGCTGTTGATAGAATTCAAAGAAGACGCGCATGAATGGGTGTGTATGTACATGTATACAGAAATTCTTGGAATTTACGCTTGCTGCCCCAAACTCGCGGCCAGCAATAACATGCTTTATTTAATAGCTTCTGTGTTTCTTATCCAATCTTGATGAAATTTTCTACATCTTATTATACTATAGAATATTTGTGTATTATCAAAAAGTCAATTGCGTTTAAATTCTGGCTTATATTGTTTGGTGAGTCTAGCTCTTATTATACCCTGAGGTAAAATGGGTATAATGGGTATATTATATTTGTGCAAATGTATCTGCTATATAATGCACTTTCTAGGGCCTTTGTCATCTGCTCAACCTCTAATTTATTATGGTTGGCAGTTTTATTTCGTTGTAAGTTCATCAGCTTTACTGACAATATTTAAATTTTACCCTTGACACTAGCTTTTAATTGTGAAATGACTTCGTAGTAGACTGTAGTTTCATTTCCGATTAAATTTCTTGCAACACCTTTTAGATTTGATTTTATAATTGAAACAGCTAATTGTTCTTGTTCGCTTTAATTGAGTCTATTATATGTGGAGCATCTACAAAACTTGCTAAGTTTTCAGCTTTACCATGGAAAGCTGGTATAAACTTGGATGCGGTATTAATGTTAGTTTGTGCAATCGTGTAAGTTTTATTTTCTACGAGACTGGAGTTTGCGTCGGATTCTGGCCAATTGAAATCTGTTCAATAATTTGGAGATATATGACCAATATGCTTGATTTAGTCTTTCTAGGTTTTCATGTACTAGTGTTCTTGCTTCATTAAAGCATTCCATTAGTATTGTAGCGAGTTTGTTAATTGTTTCGGTCTGAATAGACCTATTTTGATTTATACATTTGTAAGATTTGTCAAAAGTACTTTTGAGTTGAATTATTCTGGCATTCAATTGTTGCCAATCCATATTTAATACTTAAATATGTTATTAATTTTTATTTTCCCGCCATATTACTCCATGGTTAAGCATTCTGCCGAATAGGGAAATTCTTTTGTACCTTGGACTAACCTTACAATTTTTTAATCTCTTTAGTATAGCCGATTTTGTTGCCAATGTACATTGAATATTGTAAAAATGGATATATATGAATTTTTATTATTGTATATGTAATCTTTTATTTTTAAAATTTTTTTTTACTTAACCATTTTTAATTAAAAGCAGTTCTGTAACAATATTGCGCCCAATTTTTAAAGAAGACGCGCGAACTCCAAAAAAATAAATTGAAATATCAATGCGGGTACATAGAAGAGTTTCACTCGACATGAGCATAGGAAGTTTTTCTTGTCGTTGACGATGGCTGAAAGTTACGACCGCATGTTGGTGAAACGTTTGCTCCCGACTAGAGGATACCCAACAGCCACACCAATTATTGAGTTTTAATGAGAAAAAAACAAATTAAAATAGCAGCACAAAAAACAATACAATCGCAATTAAAATGCTGTTGATACAATTCAAAGAAGACGCGCATGAATGTGTATGTGTACATGTATACACAAACACGTGGGCAGCCGAAACACATTTTCTTTTGTGTTTCTTAGCCGATTTCGATGTAATTTTCATCAGTAGATCTTTTTGTACTTTAAAATATTCGTCTATTCTCACAATCGCATTTAAATTGTAGCTTATATTGGTGGGCAGCATATGTAAATCGGGTTATTCACTTGATGTATAGCTTTGGGGTGGTAGCGGGGAGGTGGCGATAGGTATAAAATGAAAGATACTGATATATATATATACTATTCTAGAACCAACGTATCAAGTTTGGTAACTCTAGCTCTTATTATTAACCAAATTTGCTCAAAAAACAGGATTTCGTACATACGGACGACGGACGGACAGACGGACAGACAGACTAACATGGCTAGATCTACTCGGCTGTTGATGCTGATCAAGAATATATATACTTTATGAGGTCGGAGATGCTTCCTTCTGCCTGTTACATACATTTGCACAAATACATTAATTCCTTTCTACCCATTTTCAATGGGTTCAGGGTATAAAAACGAGAAATGCTACGTGTGTGGTAAAGTAGGGCATATAAGTAAGGTAATGTAAAGCCAATACGAAACAGATCTCCGAGTCAACAGATCCAGACGCCCCGGAAGAAATGCAATTTATACAACAATCTTACACCAACGCCATCAAGTCAGTAGAAAAATCATAACAATGAAGATTGAATGAATAAAAATACCAATGGAACTGGACACAGGTGCTCCGTGCAGCATAATGAATGAAAAGACCCTTAGAAAAATTAAAAGTTTAATACGATTAAAGAAAACTGATCGCAAATTTTCAAGTTATACTGGGCACAGGATCAACTGCTGTGGACGGGCAGTTGTTAACGTGACTTATGGAAAGACTACACGTAAACTAAATCAGTATTGGTAGAAGGAAACCTGGACACACTGCGTGCGCAAGAATGGATCTCCCAATTTGCAAAAGAAATTGATTTTACTAGGATCTTTACAAACAATTCTGTAAACACCAACTACATAGATCTGGATATGTTATCAACAAAAGAAAGCGCGGTGAAAACAATAGTAGTACAATTCGATATTTGACTTTGCAGCAGGTGCCTTCAAAGGACCAGCTATTAAGGTGCACTTAAAGCCGGATGCGAAACCAATTTTTGCTCGCGCAAGAGATGTACCATTCGCGCTGCGTGATGCTTATGCAAAAGAGATTGACGCAAAAATTGCTGCAGGCTTCTACAAACGAGTTGATTACTCAGAATGGGCATCCACAACACATGTGGTAACGAAGAAAACGGGAGGTATACGAATCACTGGCAACTTAAAACCGACTGTAAATGCTCAAATGATCATTGATAAGCATCTTATTCCG